TTACACATTGCTGGTTATTGAGATATCCGATCTAATAATGATCTGGAAATCATGAATGAATATGTTTTTTTTTTAATTTGATTAAATAATGAATTAATATTGACATGGCAAATACTCAAATAAAAAAGTACAAATATACAAAATTTAACTTTTCAGTAGACAAAAATATAGTAATATATAAAATCCATACGCTTAACTGAAGAGAATTGTATACAGATAAAAGACGTCTAAACAAAATTTGAATGCGATTTTAATTGGTAAAGAATCCAAATTTATATATAGGTTTAAGTTTTGTTCTATTTAAAGCGTTGTAATGCTTATATTTATATTTATAAAGAAGAGAAATAAGTACCGGTATACACAATGATAGCCGGATTTTATAATGTTATGACTTAACCACCTAAAAGCATTAATGTTTTAGTGCTATTTTGCGTAAGTCAACTTTGAAAACGCTCCACCAGTTCCGGTTCTCAAATTCGAATAAATAGTAGTAATTGCAATAACAATATTCTGCGCCATGCTTGATTATGAATGATAATTAGATTCCTGGTAACTTTTGTCCGCTGCCAAGTGCTCCACAAATCGCACCTTCTCATTTTCGTTAAACTATTGTGTATTTGTTCTATAGAATTAGTATTTACAACTTATCTCTACCACAGCGGTTTCCAAAGTTTTTTTTATCACACCTCCCTAATACCTCAATCAATGAGACAGATGAGCTTGCATACTCTTGACAAGATTTTCAATTCTAGGTTGAATAGAAGAAAGCGCACAACGTAGATCACTAGCAATATTAAGTTTATTTCTATATTTCACTTTTATTGCTACAACCGTAAAACACGCCCTTTTGCACAAATAGGTGCAAATAGCAGCTGGAATAGAATAAACACAGTTGCAACTCTTGCTCAGCTATGCTGACATAATCTATTTGAGATATTTTACCCAAAATAGTGACATTCATCTTTTCAAATCTGCTTTGAAAAATTTCTGGCACCTCATCTATTTAACACAAAAAGGATTCGTGGCCAAGTTATAAATGTTATTATCGCACGAGTTAAGAAAGTAGCGCTTTAATTTATCGGTGAGGTGCTTCAAATGGTTTGATATTTTATTCTTCATATTATCAGTGTCCTCAAAAACCTCCTTAGAACACGCTTCTTTTGAGATTGAAAATAATTTAGAAAAGCAGGAATAATTGCATGGTAAAATTTTGCGATTCTAGAGTTGAAATTTTTCAATATATGTCATGATTTCAAGTTTACCAAATTCAAGGAATCGAAAATATCTGATAGATAAGTCAATACTGCTAGGACAGTTGGTTTTCTGAATACAACATACAGTTCAGTTTGTTTTTGGATTTCTAAAAACAAAATTACTTAATCTTGAATCTCATATAAACTTGCTAACATATTTCGAATGGAACAATAATATTTTATGTTCTGTGCCCAAATCATCACAATAGACCGTAAAAGGACTTTTTTTTAACATTATTGACAATTTTAATGCATAATTATTGAAACATCGTTGAACTCGTTTGAAAGTGTTTTAGCTGCCAAAGCTTAACGATCTATAAAACAATGAATAACGATTACGTTAGGATTTTTTTCTTTGACCAACTGTACGAATCTCGAGCGAGAGCGAGTATTGAGAGAGCGCCGTCTGTGCATACACCTATCAACTTTTACCATAACAGGACATGTTTGTTAAAGAATTCAGAGTCATTATATTAACTGCTTTTGAAACTGTCGTTAACTCTGTGGAAAACAGCATTTCGTCTTTGATTGTTTCGTTATATATTTATATCGAACGAACTAGCAATTGACATCAATATGCAATATTCGTAGTCTCGTCCAACTGCATTGCGACAAACTTTGCTACTTTCACGGCCTCCACTACCTAAACTTTCATGTGTGCGGTCATATCATCGATGCGATAATTCACAGTATTTGTGAATTTTTTCGAATTTTGTTATTTTCGCTGATTAAGTTTTAAAAATTCGTATAAAATCCAATTCTTGGAATACGAGTATGAAAATTTCCCAAAGTGTTAATAAAAGTATCTTCTTTCCAATGAACCAACACGTTTTGAAAAATAACTTTTAGTTTTTGAGAAAACAATATTTGAGGTTTTGATAAAATTTTCGATGTTGCAATTTTCATTGATAATTTTCAAAATTCGCTATACAATTAATTTCTTGAAGGATCCTTGTGGAAATATCACCAATTATTAATTAAAGTATCCTCTTTTTAATGCAAAAAGCCGTTTTGAAAAATCACTTTTAGTTCTTGAGAAATAACTTTTTGAAATATCGACAATTTTTACGAATTTTGCAATTTTCGCCGATTAAGTATTAAAATTCGTATAAAATCCGCTTCTTGGAATATGGGTATGAAAATTTCCCAAAGTGTTAATAAAAATGTCTTCTTTCCAATGAACCAACCCGTTTTGAAAAATAGCTTTTAGTTTTTGAGAAAAAATATTTGAAGTTTTGATAAAATTTTCCGTGTTGCAATTTTTATC